TGAGTGAATGTCATCATTGCCCATCTGCTTTTAAGTGGGAATGTGGGTGGCCCCACCTGCCTCAACCTTTGCTTACCTTACCTATGTCAGTACCATCTCCCTACGATGTTCCAAAAGACCAAGGGGGAAAGGTGGTGGTTGAAAGACAGCCTTTGGCAGCTCTGAGGCCCTCTCATTTGTTATCCATCCCTATTAAAGTTATTCTTACACTCTACTGTCATGAAATGTGTAACTAACTTCTTTTCCAAACTTGCAGTTAAAGTCATCGCTGGTCCAAAAGATGGAGTGATTTTCCAGAGATGGTGTTGAAGAGAGTTCATGTCAACCTTAGAAAGTTTCTTACTTGAAAACCCTGAAAAATCTTCCACAAAGCAATTCATCCATAAGCTCCTGAGGCATGATGGTTAAGAAGCAGTCAGGGGCAGCAGAAGACAACCGGTAAGGGATCCTTAAAGGAAGGAAGAGTTAATGATGGGGCAGAAATATATACCGGTGAGGGCAAGTGAGCTCAGAGAGGCAGCACTGCAGAGTGCAGTAACAACAGGAAGCTGCTGTCCATCACCTCTGAGCCTGCAAGAGTACTGAACATCAGCAAAAGCTGTGCCTGTGGCAGAAACAAGTTGACAAACTGTGGCCTTAGTCCAAGGAGCAGCCACTTCCACAGCAAGTAAGAGAATATGGTCACCCCAAACCATCTCCCCTCCTAATCTGCAGTCTTCTCCCTGGCCAAATGCAGCAGGAAAGCCAGAGAGCAGCAGAGCCTCTGGTGATGGGTTCTGTGTCAGCTTGTTGAGACACAAGGGCAGAAAAAGACAGAATAAATCTGGGTGTTAAAGGCAGCAGATGTGACACAGCAGTGGAAGGGAACATTGTGAACCACCCAGGTTCTCATCTCCAAGCAATTGTTTTCAGGGACCAAGGGAGGTGATAATGAACAAGATAGGTGAGGTCCCTGTCATTATGCACAGAGCTCACTACTGCATAAGGGCCAGTCACAACAAGCACACTATGAAGCAAACATACAGAATTTTCTCATGCATACCTAAATCCTAGGAAGAAAAAGAAGGGTAGGCGACAGAAGGTGAGTGACAGGTGGAAAGATGGGGTAATCTGGGAAAAATGAATCTTGTAGGAGTTATGCAAGCTGGAGTTTCTAAGAAAATTGCCTTTGACCTGCTTTAACTCTTAGAAATCATTCTGTGTGGGTTGTTGGTACAAATCCAGTGTGGACTGTGATTGAGACACATTGATTAGCCCCATGATAACTAGCTGGGAAGAACAAGCAGGCATATTTACACAGGGCCTGCAATTTCCACCATAAGGACATTTACTAGATCCCTTTAATGTACTTGCTATGGACACCAAGGAATTAGGTTGTTCCTTCCCAGTGGGTGTTCTAAGGTCCCTGTGGAAGGTAGACTGGAGATGCATGTCCTAGTCCCCCACCATCACCTCGCCCATGTCAGCCCTACTCTCCTTTGAAGTTCTAGGTAGAAGCAGAACACACACACACACACACACACACACACACTTGTGTGTGTGTGTGTGTGTGTGTGTGTGTGTGTGTGTGTGTGTGTGTGTGTCAGGGTTTCTTTTAGTTCTGGATATCCTGGAACTACTATGTAGACCAGGCTGGCCTCAAGCTCATAGAGATCCCTCAGTCTTTCAAGTGCTGGGATTAAAGGCAAGTGCCACCACATCCAGCTAAGTCAAACCAAGTCTTCCCCAGAGTGCCCCCCAGGGAAGGCTTAAAACGGAGCGGAGGGTGTGCGATTGCTGGCCACTGGGGTCTACATTTTGTATTTCGCTGACAGCCCTAAGTCCGCTGCGCAGCCAATGGGCAGTGGTGATTTATGGAGCTGGCTAATGCTGGCTGAATGCGGCCTGTCAGAGCACTGTGAATGGCTTCCCTTCGCTGCACAAACCCCGGCTTTGTGTTGCTAAGCGATTAGAGCAGATGTAATGAGATTTTGCCCATTCCTAGCTTCGGCAAAATTGTGTGTGTGTGTGTGTGTGTGTGTGTGTGTGTGTGTGTGTGTGTGTGTGTGTGTATGTGTGTGTGTGTGTGTTTTGTGAATTTTTGGAGTTTGCCTTCACAGTGTGGCAAACAACCACTAACTTTGCCCAGAGTTTAACTGAGACTCCATGTTTCTCATTCAGTAGGGAGTAAAAGAACACCTGTCCTTGCAGGCTAAAGAAGGAAAAAAATCCCTTTTGTAGAGGTTGAAACATTATCCTAATGTTATATTCATAGCCATAAATGACTTGCAACACTTTCTTTGCATACCTTAAGCAGCTAAATCAAATGGAAAGGGAATGGAGGGTGGAGGGGAGTGCCTAGCACTGGTCTTCCAAATAATATAAAAACAAAGCAAGTACCACGGGAGCATTGCTTCCCCAAGTAAGCTCTAAACTGGCCCACTGCTGGCAGAAACTCCAATTATTTATGGCGATGGGGAATTTACTGATCCCCCCTTAATTACGCCCATCTCTGTGAAAGAGACTGAAGCCTCCATGTGCATTCTATAGAGGGTCATTTAGCAAAATGACATCAAACTCTGTGGCATGCTCCACACATAGTGCCTTTTAAAAATGGTTATTCTGTGCCACTAAATGGTATAGATATACCAACACAAACTAGATTTTTAACTCTGGAAGACGTGCGGGCTCCTTGCTCTTTGTTGGGTTTTGTAAGATGCATTTTGCGCCTGGTTTTCCGCTTGGCTGGAGACACGCAAACTGAATCTGCAAGTGATGCAGGCAGAGAGCAAGGAGCCTGCTAGAGGGCGAGTAGGATTCTAAGCACGTCCTTGGTAACTGACAAGAAGCAAGCCAGCCAAAACCCCACCAATTTCTTTTTGAATCTTGGTAATTGGGTACTTTTACACGCTGCTCACGCTATGGGGATAGAGCCACAGGCTTAGATGGGCTGGGGTCTCAAAGCGACCACACATTTGTACTACATTTACATATTCAAGTCCAATTCCTTCTGCAGGGAATTTTTATCATATGGGTGTTTTACTTCAACTAGGGATGGAAGGTATGTATATTGGGGGGAAATGTGTATATATTGAGGGGGGAGTATGTGCCTAGAAGTGAGAGTAAAGAGTCCACACTACCCCTAAAGTTTGTGAAGAGGGAGAACCATTCCATGCCTCAATTTTCAGCACTATCCTTCCAAGCCTTCCATCTCCCCACAGTGATAACCTCAAATGGGCTAAGAGGGGGAAAGGGGAGAGGAGCAGTATCCCTGCCCAGGTTATTATTATTTTTTCATGCATAATGTTTAGTAGGATGATGCAACTATGAATTGCTATCTATTTCCCTGCAAATTGTATACATGCATGGTGAGTAAAAGAGAAGGGGACCCCTCACACAACTGGAGTAGGACTGGCTGAACCACTTATCCCCCTCTGTTCTGGAACTGAGCACCCTTGGTGCCACCCTCCTTCTCCCCTCCCCCACTTTGGGTATTTTGGTAGCTTAGCCAGGAGTGTCAGAGCCAAAGAAGACGAGCTGGTCTTTCTCTCTCTTTCTCTCTCTTTATATAAAAAAGAAAAACAGTTTTATTACAAAACTAGTTTGTATAAAACAGGGTTATACATGTTTTTTGTAAGTTTGTAATAAAACAGTAAGGGAAAAAAGGCAGTGATAGAAATTTCCAAAAGGCAACCCATGGAAACCAACTGGCTGCCACTTTTCGTTTGGACAGTAGCTGCATAAACTTTGTTCTCCTTGAACAGTTTTTAATAACATTATTAATACATTAACAACGTTTCTATGAAGTAAGACACATTGGTGCTGAAGTCATTCTGGTGGCATTTAGATCTCACCTGTGAGGAGAGTTCTTTACAAAACCACACAAGGGAAATGGCAGTTGTAAGATGGACTACACATCTAAAGTATGCAGAGGTAATCGCATTACATGTTAAAGTATCAAGATATACACATTTTAAATCATTTGTACAAAACTTCTATAAATTTTTCTCTTTCTTATGTACAAAAATATCTTAATATATCCCCAAACTGGTTAGGATAGATACAAATAGATTTTTCTTATAATAAAAAAATTCACAAAGATTGGAAGCATTCTATGATGAAAACAGAAGCAAAGACAGTGGGAGAATTAGGGTTTGGGGAGGAGGCCACCAGGATAGGGGAAGGGTGTCCAAGAACTGAGTGTGGTATAGCGTAGCTGCTTCACTGCAGACGAATGCCCAAAGCTGACTGGGATGGAGCTTACTAAGGAAAGACGCCAACCCAGATCCCGAGGGCTAAGACTTGGTTTAGATGGAGGGCTGGGGGTGAAGGCACTGGCAAGTGCTTTCAACCCTGTTTGTTAGTGGTTGGCTGGGAGTAGCTAGAGGGTGTGTGTGGCTCTCTTGCTCTAGGAAAAGACCCCACTGCTTTTGCACACCACCTGTGACCAGTCACTCTTCTCTGTCTGAGAATGATTGGAGTGCAACGTTACTGTCTGGAGCCCAACCCTGTTTTAGGAGAACATTGCATCTTAGTCATTTGTCCCTGGAGGTTGGCCGTCTGGTTTGTTTGTTTTCTTTCTTCTTGTTTTCTTCCTCCCTCTCAATGTCCTTGGCGAGAAACACTAAAGACACAGGATCTGCTGTCGCTGCTCTGCAACAGAAACAAGAGAGGTTAGTGTGAATTTGGAGGGTAGTGGTAGAGGATGTGGAGGCTTGGGGACAGTCTGTCAGGTAAAACATCTCTTTGAACAAGTCAGTTCCAGTGCTCAGTACCTAGGGTCTTGGCACCTCACCTTTACTCTCCTCCTTTGGAAACTTGGGCAAGGCCACTTTCAGGGGTCAATACTGAAGCTAACGAACTAGGATTTGAAATAGACAAACTAACAGCGATAGCAACCCCTCCGAGTTCCTGGAGACAGCCCCTACCCTCTATGGACCCTCAAAAGGGGGAAAGGGGGCCAACGCCAAATGAAACCTACCTACTTCCAATGTCCATTTCCAGTAGGGCCGGACAGCTCCTCAGAACCAGTTGGTGAAGTCTAGCAGTTCCTGTTCCTCTGGACTGAGAGGGTCATAGGATCCCTCGTCGGAGGAGTAGGATGAGACCGGAGAACCCGCCATAGAGTTCATGTCATTGGAGTAGTTGGGGGAGATGGTGGGCGACAGGACGCCCGCCTGGAAGGCAGCGCTCACCGCGTCGTGTTCGTCCAGCAGCTGCTGCAGAGCTCGGATGTACTCGACCGCGGAGCGCAGCGTCTCCACCTTGCTCATCTTCTTGTTGGCAGCGCCATTGGGGACGTGCTCCCGGAGAGTGGCAAAGCCCAGGTTGACCAACTTGACCCTGTTGCGCTCGCGCTCGTTGCGGCGCGCCACGGCGGCGGGCTGCTGCTGCGGCAGGCTGGAGCCGAAGCCGCTGAAATTGAGCCGGCGTGTGCAGCGCATCAGTTCGGGAGAGGACGAGCGCTGGCGCTTGACCTGCTTGGCCGCTGACTTGTGCCCGCCCCCTGAGGGCTGGCCGTCGGCCACTGGGCTCAGCTGCGGCGCCTGCTGCGGCTGCGGGGGCGGCTGCTGCTGCCGCCGCCGCCGTAGCAAAGAAGCAGGCTGCAGGCGGCAGGAAAGGCTGCGGGGGCTGCGGCTGCTGGCCAGCTCCACTCTCCATCTTGCCAGAGCCCTCCATGCCCAGCCAAGGAGTCGCGGTCAAGAGCGCGAGGAGTTTGCGAGGTGCGCGAAGCGCTAGGGGGACGCGGGACTCAGAGGCACAATCAAAAGGGGCGAGGAAAAGGAAAGAGGAGGAACGGGCAGGGAGGAAAGTTAAAGGAGAAGAAACGCACAGAAGGCCGCAGAGTTCTCCAGCTGCG